CTGAATAGCCATGTAACTACATAGCTTTATAATTCCTGAAAAAGACTTCTCCAGGCCTAGATGGTTTCACTGGATAACTCTACCAAAAGGTTAAAGAAAACAACACCAATTCTACACAATTTCTTCCAGAAAATACAAAAGTTGGGAATATGTCCCAACTCATGTTGTGAGGTCACATTACCCAGATACCAAAATCAGACAAAAGCAGTACAAAAAAGAGAACTACTTACCAATATCTCTCATAAACATGGACTTCAAAATTCTTAACAAAATTTTCATAGTATTTAGCAATATGTATATGTATATTAATAGGTTAAACAAGAAAAACCATATGATCATATCAATTGATGTAGAAAAAGCATTTGAGAAACTTTAACACCTGTTCAGGCAAAAATTATCAAAAATCAAACAAGAGATAGGAATTTCCTAAACTTGATAATGGATTATCTACAAAACCCCTATTTTTAATATGATACCTGGTGGTAAAAGACTGAATGTTTCACTCTGAAGACTGGGAACAAGGCAAGACTGTCTGTTCACACCACTCATAAACACTGTGCTGAAAGTCAGCCAGAGCAATAAGGAAAGAAAACAAAAGGACACTCATTGGAAAGGATGAAATAAAACTCTCTCTACTTGAAAATGATATGATGGTCTATGTAGAAAGTCCCAAAGAATCTACAAAACAATACAACAAAACAAAAAAACCCATCAAAGCTCCTCCCAGAACTAACAGGTGAGTTCAAGAAGGTGACAGAATATAAGATCTAACGAAACATGTACATGCCTTGTATGCTAACAACTACCAAATACTAGTGACAGAAGTCAAGGAAGGTCTAAAATTTTGGAAGCACACTATGTTGATGGATTGGAAGATATAATAAAGTTATCAATCTCCTCAAGCTGATATATAGGTTTAATATAATTCATATAAAATTCCAGAAGGATTTTATTTTAGATACAGACAAGCTTATTCTACAATTTATAGGGGGGAGTAGAACTAAAGTAACAACACTTTTGAAAAAGAAGAATAAATCAAGAGGAACCCCTGTACCTGATGCCAAGGCTTACTGTGTAACTGTAATTATCAAAACAGTATGGCATTATTGGTAGGAGAGACACATAAATTTATGGAACAGAACAAAAACAGGTCCTTATGCATACAGACAACTGATTTTTGAGAAAGGAGCACAAGTAATTCAGTGAAATGAGGATAGTCTTTCTAATAAATCATACTGGAACAACTGGGTAGCCACAGGCATATGAAATAAAACCTCAACCTATACAAAAATAACTCAATAAAACCTCAATCCTATACAAAAATAACTCAAAAGGGATTCCAGACTTACTAAAAAATTTTAAGGAAATAACAGTTTTAAGAAAATCTTCAGGACCTAGGGCTTGGTGAAGACTCCTTAGACATGATACCAAATTCATGATCCATAAAAGAGAAAATGATAGAATGCATTTCATTAAAACTTCTGAAACTGTTAAAAGCATTACAAGACAAGCTACAGACCGTGAGAAAATATTTACAAACCAGGTATGTGACAAAAGACTATTATGTAGAATAAAGAACTTTGAAAACTAAATTTTAAAAATCAGATTAGAAAAGGGACAAAAGATCTGAACAGATATTTTACCAAAGAAGATACTTAAATGGCAAATAAGCACATGAAGAGATGTTCAATATCATTAGCCACGAGAGAAATGCAAATCAAGATCACAATGAGATATTTACACCTATGAGAACAGCTGGAATGAAGAACACTAAGAATACCAAGTTCTGGCAGGGATTCTGAGAAACTAGATCTCTCATATGCTACTAGAAATGTAAAATGGGACAGCCACTCTGGAAAATTGTCTGGCAGTCTCACAAAACTAAACAAACACTTACTGTCTTGCCTAGCAAATGCAAAAATCTATTCACAGTAGCTATATAAGTAGCTTTTATACTACTTAGCTGTCCTTCAGGGGTGAATGGTCAAACAAATTCTAGTACATCCATACCATGGACTCAGCAATAAAAAGGAACAAACTCTTGATAGATACAACCACCAACATGGATCTCCAGGGGATTATGCTGAGTAGGGGGAAAAGCCAATCTCAAAAGATCATATACTATATGATTCCACTTCTACAAAGTTCTGGAAATTAAAAAATTATAGTAATATCAATTTAGAGACTGTTAGGGGTTAGGGATTCTCGGGAGTAAGGAGGTGGGTGTGACATGTGGGGTAGAACAAGGGACATCTTCATGCTAATGGAACAGTTTTGTATCTTGACTGTAATGGTGCTTGCATAAATCTATGTGTGATAAAATGGCACAGAACTATGCACATGCATTGAGCCCATGTTCACTCCTGATTGTGATACTGTACTATAGCTGTGTAAGATGGAACCTTCAGGAAAACTAGGTAAAACATACATGGAACCTCTCAGTACTATTTTTGCAATTTCCTATGAATCTGTGACTATTTCAAAACAAAAAGTTTTTCAAAAATTATCCTGAAGAAAACTTTTATCCCCTAAAATCTTCTGGCTCATATATGAAAGAAACTTGAGAAAGGTTTTCCCAAATTTGACAATTTCCATAATTTTTATGACATTACCAATAAAGAGTAGTGAGATTGAATCTTTTCTGAAATACCAATACAGTATTAGCAAAATTTGATCACCTATGCTAGAGAAAAGACTGATTTATGTTTTTATTCTCTCTGTACATAATATCACAAAATTATTATATGAAGGAGGGATCAAAAAGCAGGCAGAAAAAAAAAGCAGGCAAATTTTTTAAAAGTAGAAAAAAGTATTACAGACTGCATTCCATTATCTGAAATGTTTGGGACCAGAAGTGTTTCTGATTTTGGACGGTTTTGGGGGGAATATTTACATAGGTTTTACTAGTTAAGCATCCTTAATCTGAAATGCCTTAAAATCTGAAACTTTTTTTTTCAGTGTCATGGTACTCAAAAAGTTTTAGATTTTGGAGTATTTCAAATTTTGGATTTTTGGATTAGAGATGCACAAACTGCATAGGCAGCTAGTAAATAATTTTTTGCATGACTGTTTTAGATTTTATGATATTTTTATTTACTTCAGCTTTTGAAAACTTTGAAACATTATAATTTCTCATTTTATTAAAAAATCACATATATATTTCTCAGAAAATATCTGATCTTATACTTGAATTTGTATGAGGAATTTAATAGCTCTAAATTATACAAAAGAGCCAAGTCCCACAAAATTGGAATCTGGTGCTATATGCAGGTATTCTAGTCGACTGTGAAAGAACTTAGACTTCAGAGTTCCAAAAACCTTTGACCCATCATCATATAACTGTGAGACTAAAGGTAAGCTACCTAATCCTTTAAGTTTTGGTTTCCTCATCCATAAAATGCTCATAAAACCAGGACTACAGTATATGCGTGTGAATATGTAATTGGTTGTCCTTTATATGAAATAGCATAGTATTTGCACAGACTCTATGCACACCCTCCTCAATATTTTTAATCATATCTAGATTACTTATGACATATAATGCAATGCAAATGCTATAGAAATACAGTTGTGTTGTCCAGGGAATAATGACAAGAAAAAAAAGTCTACATGTTCAGTACAGATGCAATTTACTTTTAAAAATATTTTCAATCAGCGGTTGACTGCATCTGTAGATATTGAAACCAGTTACCAGGGCTGGCTGTATACAGAAAGCACTTAGAACATAATACCTAGCACACAGTAAGGAGTCACAACATGTCCCCTAGAGTAGTCACTGTTGGCAACAGCCATCATCAATTTCTCCTTCCTATCAGCTCCCACCCTAGTTTGGGCATCCTTGCTCTTGTGTGCCTCAGGGAAAGCTGCCCATGCTCTCAGCTCTTGGTAGGTCAGTTTTAATGGCCTGCTTTTTGAAAAAGGTCATGAGGAGTAACAATAAGTCAACTTTCTACTCTCAGTGGAAAATGATTTGGCCCTATATATGTTTGGAGGGGGTTGGAAAACAGAATATGATTTATCAAATAGCATAAAAAATGAACATGATTTTATCAGGCTCTAAGCATCCAGGGTACCTATGGAATGATCAGACTAATAGGAATATGACGTAATCTCAAAGGTCATGGAATGCAAAGATTCTCAACTGTGTGCAGGGTCTATCAATTTTCGTCACCTAATCTTGCTACACAGAATAAAGATGGTACAATCTTATGTCTCAAGTTTAAAGCCATGAGACTATAAATTCTCTTCAGGTTTATATTCCCAAGGGCAGATTATTTTCCTTAATCCAACCCTTGAGATTCATGCCATTAAGATGAAATTCTAATCATTCCAAATTTTATGACTTTAAAGTAGCCCTTAGTACAGCTGCACTCCTTAGGTAGGTACAGCACAATGATGAAGCATATGGACTCTGTGGTGAGAATACCTGGGTTTAAATCCTAGCTTATCCACTTAGAGCTCTGTGACCTTGGGCAAGTTGTTGCTTTATGTCTCCGTTTCCCCAACACTAAAATAGAAATAATAGTATCACCTCTTTTATAGGAATGTTATAAGTATCTTAGTGTATACATAGCATCTCAAACACGTCTGCAATACAAGTGTTAGTGATACTAATGAATGTCGTCAATAAGCCCCCATCTGGAGCTGCACACTGAGACATGCTAGTCCAGAAATGGTGCAGCTGGCAGTGGTCAAGCCTGATAATCCCTACCTAAACCAATATAAAAGTTTCAGGTAGAAAAGACTAGTTTATCAAATTCTACTTTTCTCCACAACTTCAAGAATGACTGGGAGATCCCTGTTCATTTTTCTCACACATTTTAAAATCTAGAGAAGCTAGCAGAAAAATAAAAAACATCACCACCTTGTGGTTTTTGAGAGAATGATTAATTACACCTTCACACTTATCTTTACACACACCTTTTACTTACACCTTTGCACATTCTCAAGAATGTTCATAGTTGACATCTGTAGACACAAGGCCTTGGTTCCAAACTGACCTTATATTAAGCCATGACAACATGGGTGTCGTGCCTCCACCAATGATCCAGACAGTGAAGAAGACAACGAGGAGGGTGGTTGTGAACATCATCTGGCGAGCATAGGATGCTGTGTCCCGGATGGCCAATGCAAATGCCATCGCCCCCCTGAGGCCTGCAGGGACCAAAAGGGAAGATCTACTGGTGATATCTGACAATGGTTCCTCAAAATCCCTGCTGCCACGTGAGGCTAATAGACTCTAGCCATTTGTGCTTTGGGAGCCAAGTTGTTTTACTCTGAAAGAAGAACCCTAAAGGTAGGTTTCTCTTCTTGAAAGGTGTTTTTGGCAAAGTTCCCAAACACTATAAGAAATACACTGAATTGCTTTGTACAGCATATTTTAGAATACTAACACTCTTAGTAAATGATTCGCTTGCTAGTAACATCAAGTAAAAAAAATACAAATAAGCAATAATAACAAAATCTCTCGAAGTCTGTGGTCCAACACTACCCAAATACTACACAGTCAAAATAAATTTAAAACACAGGCTAGGTATGAATGTATCAAGTGCACATTTGTGAAAAAAAAAAAAGCATTTCTTTAGCAAAGGGAGAAACCCACACAGAGAAATGAAAAAAACGGCCTAACCTACATCAGAGGTTGGCAGCTATTTTGAGAACATTTTTATTAGTATATATTTGTGATACATAATGAATATATTCATTGTCTGGTATTGCTACATATACATACAGCATCTCCATCTCTAAAGAGCCAGATATTAAATATTTTAGACTTTTTTGAGACAGGGTCTCACTATGTATTCCAGGCTGGCCTTGAACTCACTATGTAGCCCAGGGTAGCCTTGAACTTGTGGCAATTCTCCTGCCTCAGCCTTCCAAGTGCTGGGATTACAGATATGGACCACCACACCCAGTTTAAATATTTTAGGTTTTGTGGGCCAAGAAGCATAATCAAGTATATTGGTAGGTACTTATGTAAAAGATCAAAAACAGATTGCCACATATTATTATTGGGAAAAATCAAGAATATAATAACAGTAATTGAGCACTTTTGTTGTAATGCAGGTTTACTAATGAAAGAATGGGATTCTTTGGGGGAGGGGATATTTTACTTAGTTGGGTTTCAAAGTTTATGTTCCTTATCATCAAATAGATTCCAAATATTCATCTGAAAAAAGGCACTCTTAGCTGGTGGGTTATATAAAAACTAGTAGCAGCCAGATTTAGCCCAGGGGCTGTGGTCTGCTAATCCTTGATCTATATTAATGGGTTTTAAGATTAACCTCAACATTTTAATGTTTCAGAGTATTATCTTTCTAAGGTCTTTTGTTCCTTCCTCATACCATGTTCATAATTTGTTTTATAGTAAAGATGGAATCCAGTCAATACATATCTTGTACTGTATCTGAGGTATGATCACAATGTACAGTGAATGTTTAAATGTTTAAAAATTTATTACAGTAAAAGACACATTGCCATTAATTCTCCTTAAAATACTCCCCCTAACTTCAAGCACACTCCATCATTCCTGCCACTTTCTGAAGCAGTTCTAGAAGTTTCTTTCATGTCTTTATGAGATGTCAGTGAATGCTGTTGCCAAGTGTCATCCAACATAAAGGCAGGCTCATAAAAACACTACAGTGCATCCGCATTCACCTCATTCACCAGATCTGGTACCATGCTACCTCTGGCTCTTCTCCAAAGTAAAAATAGCCATGAAAGGTAAATGTTTTGAATAGATTCAGGACACGGAGGCATCCATGATGGTGCAACTAAAGACACTCATGAAAAAGGGCTTCCAGAGTAGCTGCGGTGGCGGCGGAGGCGGGAAGATGGAGGCGCCCGTGCTTCTGAGAGTGTCTGTGCCGCGCTGGGAGCAGGTGACACGGTGCGCCGTGTGCGCCGCCGGGATCCTGCTGTCCATCTATGCCTACCACGTGGAGCGGGAGAAGGAGCGCGACCCGGAGCACCGGGCCCTCTGCGACCTGGGGCCGTGGGTGAGGTGCTCGGCCGCCCTCGTCTCCAGATGGGGTCGAGGATTTGGTCTTTTGGGTTCCATTTTTGGAAAGGATGGTGTATTAAACCAGCAAAACAGTGTCTTTGGACTTATATTTTATATACAATTATTACTTGGCATGACAACAGCAAGTGCAGTTGCAGCTTTAATCCTCATGACATCCTCCATCGTGTCTGTCGCGGGGTCTTTGTACCTGGCCTACATTCTGTACTTTGTGCTGAAGGAGTTTTGCATCATCTGCATCGCCACTTACGTACTGAACTTCATTCTTCTCATCATCAACTACAAACGACTAGTTTACTTGAACGAGGCCTGGAAACGGCAGCTGCAGCCCAAGCAGGACTGACCACCTGACGAACTTTTCCTGACAGTCTGAAATCCCTTTCTCCATTAAGTTTATTTCGCAAAAGTTTTGGTTTTAATTTTTCACAACAGCCACTTTCCCTAAGAATCTTAAATTGATTTTTTAAAATACTGTAAATTAGAAGGGGTCCTCGCTATTTTCTGTGTCAATCTTCATTTTAAATATGGACACTAAAAAAGGATACGCCAAGCCAATCACAGACAAGCTTTAACTTTACTTTGAAGATGTTTCTGAGATAATAAAATGTAGCCCTAGCCCCCTTTCCTCAGTGAGCAGCCATTGCTAGTAATTCTTAATGTGTATAAATTCAATTTCAGGTATAACAAATGTGATCATGACATGAAAATATTTTAGAATAGATAACTATTAAATATTGCCATGTTTACAATATGTAATATGTTCTTAGCTGATGGATTGAAACATGTAGATTCAACTAGAATCCATTTATGTGATATTTGTACATACAGGTAGAAATATTGGATCCATCTCTGCAGAACTTACTGTACAGTTTAGGTGAAGTGCAGCAATGAGGACTCGTCAGCTCAACGCCAACTGATGAAGTAGTGAAAATAGTAAGCCCATACAGAGCGTCTTGTGAGAAGTACTGGCAGCCATGGGTTCGGCATTGACAGCAAAAAATAACAGGGGGGTGGGTTCCCTCTCATCTCCTTGTTCTGAAAGGAAGAAACTATATTTGAACGTCCAAGTCAAGTTTCTGTCTAGTCATGAAACTGGATCAATTGCAGCCTTACAGAATGAGTCTGAGAACGTCAGGAAGTTGGGAAAACTGGTATATTCTTTTTTGGGGGAAAAAACTGGAAATATCAATATGGCATTTTTAGGTAAAGGGTCTTACAACAGTTGAATTTTCAATGCAGATATTTTTCCTTGATATTGGTGCCACTCAGCCAAACAGTATTATGATAATAACCAGTATAAGCCCAGTCACCTGAGTAGGATTGCTCTCCGGTACCTCCATAGTATTTTCCCTCATTGTTTCTTTCTGCACTAAGGATTGTTAGTAATTGTTTTAGAATCAAATATTGGATCTGTAAACTTCAGGGCTGACACACTGCTCCGTCTGTTCAATTAGAAGTCCTACCAGTAGAAGTATCTGAAGGTGAAATGCAGACATGTTGTCACTGCTGTTTCTGGCAGTAAGAATTTTTTAAAGTGATTTGAATAAACCCAAATGAAATTGTGACAGTATGTTTCTATGGTTAACATCTATCAGAATGTTAAAAGTGCCTTCTGTCTTAAATCTCAAACCAAATATTTTGTGTGTTGAACTTGGGCAGAAGTGTCCTTCCTTCCTTAACATGAAACAAAACTTGCACTCTCCAGAAAGGTTCTGTATGATCATTTTATTCCATAGATTGAGAAGTGGTAGCGGTGATTTTGCTTCTAATTAATCATTAATAGTGGATTAGACTGGTAACTTTTGAGTGCTTTATTTGCCTTCTTTTTGAAGGGAGGAGACAGGCTCTCTGCTCTGTAAACTAAAACCTGTAGAGTCAGCAGTTGTTCAGTAGTTTACAACCAACTGTCATATAATTGACACATTGTAAGTCCTGTGGCCCCAGGCAGGTATAAAATCTGAATTGTCATGAATTTTTAATGGGTTTTAACCAGTTTATTAAAAGATAGCTTAATTCAGATTTCATCGAGGCTTATGTTTTCCCATGAATGTGAATATTTCAATGCCTGTCTTACTCTGTATGTACTGTTCCTGTGTTCTTAAGTAGTTAAAGGACTCCAGAAAGCACTGAATGTCTGGTGCTTATGGAGAGACAAGTCCTCGTGTTTGAGGACTGTACAGTAAGGTCCTCTTGCAGCCAAGCACCGGGTTCTACCAAGGCAGTTGACTGGTTCTCTTTTCTAGCTAGAGTGGAAACTGCTTAACAGTGGAGAGGTCTGTGATTTCATATATATCACAGTTGTGCTAAACAAGTTCCTCGTGTCCCAATTTCAAATGTTCTTTCATTGTATTTTGTATTAATCAGCAGAGTATAGTTAAAGCTTGTCTTGATGCTGCATTCTTGCAAATATCTACAACTCTTACATGAGAAAATATGTACAAATGTTCAGCCAGACCCTTCAAATTTTTCCTTTGCTTTCCTAAGCCTTGGGGGAACCACTGTTTCAGTTATATAACAATTGTTGCCACATTCCTGTGACCCAGTAGAATTCATACCCTTTTTCTCACTGAGAGATGAACAGGTGCTGCTTGAAACAACAGCATTTCCCAAAACACCAGTGTCTCAGTAAGCCCCAGAAAACCTGGTTGCGTGCTATTTGCTCTTTGCCCTGGAGGAATTTAGGTTCCCCCTGCACCTTCGATTTCACCCTGAAGAAGGGGAAACACCTATGTTATAAAACTTGAAGATTGTAGGACTGTGTCAGACCCAATGTTTAAACACTGCAGCATTGCTAGCCACCAACGTTGGAGAACAGGTTCGGGGGAAATTGGCTTTAGCAGTAATTCCATGCTTCATGTTTCTGAAGTGGTTCACAACAAATCAAGCCTCTTATTTACTTAAGTCATAAATATTTGAAGAAATAAGAGAAGTTATAGTTAGATGGTAAATTCTATGGAGTCTAGGTGGTTTGGAGGATTTCATTTGGTTTTTCATCGCAGCTAGTTGGTGTCAATGAGGGTAAACTTCTGAAATAACTCAGGTTTAACTAGCTGTGTGCCAGGAATCACTCTGACTTGATCTATGTATTCATTATTTTTAAAGAAAAAGCATTGACTATTTTCATACAAAGAGACAAAGAGTTTTCATTTGGTACAAAGGATCTTTGGACCTACTAGAACTCTTTGTTGGCTTTTGCTTCTTTTCATTTATATTTATTCTCAAAAGACTATCCTTTTAAAAGTACAAAGACATCTTGAGCAATTGCTTCGTAACTAGATGGGCTGCACTGCCTGACACCAGTGAACTGACAGGTGAGCTCATATGAAAAATCAGTGAAGGGCCGGGGATTTAGCTCAGTGGTTCCGCCGCCTGCCTTGCAAGTGCAAGGACCCGAGTTCAATCCCTGGTACCAAAAAAAAAAAAAAAAAAAAAAAAGAAAGAAAAGAAAAATCAGTGTTGGACAAACACAGGCAAAGACTCCACTGTCTTTTCCAGTACCTGTTTGGGGAGATACACCCAATACACAGCCTTTGTCCTATGTTGTCCTCCAGCACACGAGTACTGGCGAAATGTTTCTACTTAAGTTTGGGCAGCACTTATGAACCCTAATCTGTGAGAACAAAAGGGTGAGGGTAGGAGTCCCAGCTACTTGGTCTTAAACATTTTTTGGGCAATTTCGCCCAGAAAAGGTGAAATGTTTTGTTATCAAACTGTATTGAGCATGGCCTAAATATTAGGTGTACAATCTGTATAGTACGTGCCATCAAAAATATTTATTACTAGTGCTTTAAGCTCCTGAATAAATGTTCATGTAAAATGGAGTTCACTGGGCAGATTTCCCCTTTAATATAGGTAGAAATAGTCTTTATTAGAGATTTAGGATACCATTTTGCTAACTGGTAAACAAAAACAAACGTAAATATGTAAGAACGTTTATTTGTTGCACATAACTTTTTTGGTATAAAATAAATGTAGAAGTTACCTGTGGGGGGGCAGGGCTTCCAGAACTGCTTCAGAAAGTGGCAAGAACAGGATAAGTGTGTTCAAAGCGAGGGGAAGTATTTTGAAGATGTAATGGCAATGCATCTTTTACTGCTATGATTTTTGTAAAAATTAAATATTCACTGCATTTTTAATCACCCTGCATAAATTCTTAATTCACCACAGGCAAGAATATATATGAGAGAATGAAAAGTTAGAACTACTGTATCTGTCTACATATTTTCCCCTTTTCCAATAATTTCACAATAAATACAATCTGCAAGTTTCACTAAAATTCACTAAAAAAAGTTACTCAATAAAAGTTACACTAAAAAAGAGCAAAGTATATGCTTTCTATTAACTTGTCCTACTGAAATATTTATATATGGGTTCAATGGTCAATATTTAAGCTCCTACAGGGTTGTTGTCTCAAAGAAGAGAACTAGAGAACTGGGAGGGCAGTTCAGAGAGAGACAATGTATGACATGTTTATTTTATTATGCAAACACTATAAGCAATATGAAAGTAGAACTTCAGGTATTTCAAAACCTTAAAGAATGAGTTCTTCTGAGCCAGATTTATCCCAGCATAAAATATTTGTTTTTTATTTATCTTTAAACAGCATGATGTACTTCTCAGCCTTTTGGTAAGGAAGATAATGCACATACACAGTGTGATCAAAACATACAGTGAATATATAAATTTTTAAAATTATTATAATAAATGACACACTGCCATTAATCTCCCTCAAATTACTTCCCCTCACTTCAAACACAGATATCCCGTCATGCTTATCACTTTCTGAAGCAGTTCTTGAAGTTCACTTTCATGCCTTTATGAGATGTGACCAAAAAATGCTGTGAATGCTGCTGCCAAGTGCCATCCAACAGAAAAGTAGGCTCATAAATACATTACAGAGTGTTCTCATCCACCATATTCACTGGATCTGGCACTGTGCAACTTCTGATTCTTTGGCAAAGTCAAAATGACCATGAAAGGTAAATATACTGAAGAGGTTCGGGACATCGAGGCAGCCACGACAGTACAATGAAAGATATGAAAGAAGACTTCCAGAACTGCTTCAGAAAGTGACAAGAACAATGGGATAAGTGTGTTTGAAATGAGGGGGAATATTTTGAGGGGGATTAATGGCAATGTGTTATTTATTGTAATAATTAAAAAATAATCAGTATTTTAAAATCACTAATCATATTTGAAGTTTACATAGATGACTATCATCTCTAAGTCATCTTTGTCTTATCCATCGCCATTTTCATAATATTCAAGCAGAAGCTTGTTATTGCCCTTCCTCACTAAACTCTCAATGTTTCCCAGCTGCTTTTGAGTAAAACTCAAACTTTTGATACAGCTCTGGAGCTTCTCTGTAGTCTCCACTCTGCAGAAGTAGTTCTCAAAGTGTTGTCCTTAAACCACCACTAGCAGCAGCTGAGAATATGCTAGAAATGCAAATTCTTGGGGTCCACCCCCAGATTCAGACACTCTGGTAGCAGAGCCTGCAATCTGTGCTTTAACAAGCCCAGCAGGAGATTCTGATGCAACCAAAAGGCTGCAAATCTCTAGCTTAGACACAGTTTTCTTTTTCAGTCTCACCCTCCTTCTGTACTGCTCCATATGTCAGACACTTTGACCAGACTGCTACCCTTCTTAAAAAAAATACTAGGTCAGTGCTTGTCTCTGCCTTTCTACATTGCTTCCTCCTAAAGTCTCATTTCTTCCAAGACCATTTTGAAGGCTACCTTCTTTGTAAAGAGAGCCTTGAGCCCTCTCTTCTTATCCATATGTCTTTCATATCTCTGTGCAACCCACCATGTTCTCTTGGGAAGAATTAGCTCTTTGTGTGCCTGGCTCTCCCCAGCAGTCTGTCAGCTCCTGGAAGGAGGCTGGTCTTTCCATTCTCCACAACCCACCATTGCGGCTTATAAAAAGATGTCAACAAATGTTTGGCACGATACAAAGCAATCATTATGGCAGGCTACAGATCATGTTCACATGCAAGTTAGAACAAGACAAAGTGTGTGCTTTATGGAGCAGTATCAGTTGGTGTGGTTTCAGACTGACTCTGTTAGGTCCCCAAGAACCATTGCATGGAGTAAAGGCAGCTGGTACTTGCTCTGCAGCCTGGTACAGTGTACCTCTGTCATCCTCACAGGACAGAAGTACTTTTAAGGGTCACAGTGACCTTTTGCCCCCAATATCTTCTCCCCTGTTCTGCATAAATGCCCTAATCTGGGTCTCATGTCTATAAAATCTAACATTTATCACCCTTTCCAGATCATCTGCTCATGCCAATTGCTTTTTCCTTCTTTACCTCCACATCTTTATTGTCCTTTGTTCCCTCAGTGGCATCTCTGGACCTCACAGCTTTACAGTGAGTAGAAGGGCATGTGGGTGAAAGTGTAAGTCAAGCAGGATTATCACAGCTGTTAAATTCTGACTTTGGGTTTATCTTGTTTTGTGAGTATATGTCACTCCTTTTGCTCCACAGAAAGTGGAACTTTACCTAGTTATTCCCACTTCGTTATTTTATGAGAAGATAGTATACCTATGAGGTATTGAGTGACATGGCTCTTGTTCTTTCTCATCACAAGCTATTTTCTTTCTAATTTTAGGTCTGGAGCCCTTTAGGGTTATAAACATCTACTAGAAAACAATCAAGCACTTTGAATAGTTATAGTTCTTTGGCTGGCAGAGATTAAATAGATATGCAAATATTTTAGGAGAGAATGTCTACATTTAGTTAGTTCAGTTTGTAAATCAACACTAACTCGGTTAACATGTACATCTTTCTACAAAAGAACCAGAAAATTAAATGTCCTTTTGTGAACCTTATCAATTATAATTATACTAACATTGCTTGTCAAATAAAACTCATTTTCTCTGTATTTACACTTTTTTTTTTACCTGAAAACATCATCATGTGTTGAAAATTCCAGCCAATCCTATGTCTTCTGCCCAAGTTGAGGAAGAAGGAGAGTGGGTAGATATGCGCAGCTCTGCCCAGGAAGATAGCAACCTGATGACCAGGTGAAGGTTAAGGGCCCAATAGGTTTCCAGTATAGCACTTCCACACAAACTCTGGTTAAGCAGAGAATTTTAGGGATGCCATGATCTGGACAGCTGCCCAAAGAAACCAAGCTGTCTAGTTTCCCAGTCTAAACAAATCTCTCAGCAACAAACGGGAGTCATTTGGACAACCTTCCCTGCTTTCTGGTTCAAAGAGATAACTTCTAGTTTGTTAAATATATTGTTGTAACTTTCTGACTTAACTCATAGTGACCCATTCCTAAATTTATGTAAGAATGAGTCCAGAAATGAGAGAAGCAAATAGTATGTTGGTCTCTCCTGGAAGAAAAATCACCAAGAGAGAAAAATTCCTGGCCCTGGAGATAAACTATAAAGAAAAAGTTGGCTGGGTGAAGCATGCAAGCTTCACTTGCAACTGAACATGGATTCCAATGCTCAGAAAAAGCCTAAAAATAATATGTGGGGAAACTTGAAGTATTTATCTCATAAAAGGCCTTCTGATTATTTAAAAATGTTAACCCAGGGCTATTTCTCTACCTAAATGGCTTAAATGTCTTTTGGAGATATAAGAGATAGAAGAGTGTGGAAAAGAAACTACTATAAAGCAAAGAATTCTGGGAAATTGGTCATCTGTCACTTGCAAATTTAGACTGTGCCCAACAGAGAGGGCTAAGCAGTCCTCTGGTCAGAGAAGGAAACCCACATGGGAGTCAGAGGAACAGGGACTTCCATTTTTTGGTAAAGCACCAGCTGCAGGAGCCTTAGTTGTTTCTTACGGGGTGGAGCATACTATCTTCTGCTTCCTCCTGGGTAAAGCATTCATTCTCCCCCCTCTCTCTTCCTCCCTCCTTCCCCCCCTCTTCTTTCCTTTTTTGATTTGTTTTTACCAAATGGAAATATGTAGCACATTCTATCCCAAAGGTGAAGGAAAAGTCCTTAGGTGACCAGCGGCCTTTAGGATTCCCAAGCGGACTCAGCTCACCCTTTGACAGGCCATCATCTATAAACAAGGGTGGTGCACTCAATATCTCTCACAGATGCCATACTGGGAATACAAACCAGGATCATGTACCAGGTCTTTCTGGATAAAGAAGAAAATCACAAACCTTGTAGATTTTGAGCTATTAGTCTGGTGAGTATGTGAATCCAAGAAATGTATGACACTCTAATTAGAAGGATTCTGGTGCCATCATTGTCTAGCAGCTTGGGAAGTACCAGTCATTCCTGCACAAGAAACAAAAGGTCCAGAAGTAGAAAATACTCCTTTTTTCCTTTGCCCCTTTTCTTCCTATTTCACATGACCTATTATACCTTTTTTGCTAATATTATAAGGGCTAAGGATTCCCCTGAGGCCTCAGAAAAAGGGAAAGCAAACATCCAGCAATAGAGGACTTCACTCAGGATCTTGAACACAGCCCCAGAAAAGTATAAATGAAAACAACAGTATCTGCAGCCTAATGAGTGAAACCCTCAGCTCCATAATCCATTGCTAGGCACTCAGAACCCTTCTCACTCAAGAGAACTCACTCCCCAAAACCATGTCTCCCTTCTAAAAACTGCATTTAAAATAGGACCGAGTCAAGAAACCAAGTATTTCTCCATTTTCTCTTTTCTTCTATTTCCTCTCTTCTTTTAAACAAAACAAAACAAAGCAAAACAAAACAAAAGCAAAGAAGTCTTTCCAACAGTGATCCATAGCAACATGACAGCTCAGGTGAAAGCATGGTCACTACCTACGGGCACCCCTGGGGGGCATGAGGAAGGGTTTGTCCATGCTGAGTGTGCAGTTGGGAGCAAGAAGAATGGAACCTTCTAGTTGCCTAAATCAGAGACCCTCCTATATCAGATTTTATATGGCAATGAAATGTCAAAAATAATCCCAGGAATGGATGTGGTTGCCATTTGTCAAGTTTATCCAGAAGGGAACTCTACAAAACAATCAATCACCTCCGAAGCACCAGCTTAAAGGAAAGGCCAACTTACACAGAAAATGCAGGAAGGCTCACCGGAGAATAAATGTCAGTCCTTTATATCAAATATATCTGGCTTTCTGAAATATTGCTTAAATATTTTTTTTCTTGTAAAAATACCATGAGCCAGCATGGTCTTGTCACCCATCCAAAACAGAAATAACAATAAGAAATTAGAGCTAGTAGAATTTCCCTCGAAGTGGTTACTTCTCCATGTAGAAAATGGAAGAATGAAAAAAGGATACAAAAGCGCCAATGATGAAGATGGGGCTGAAGACGTGCTTCTGGAAGGTAAACAGCGCCAGGCCCATGTAGGAGAAGATGAAGTTTTCTGCCAGAAAGTGCAGCACCTCAAACAGCTGCATGGAGAAGAGAAAAAGAAGCCATAAACCCTGAGCTCCTATTTCTTGTACAGTACTACCAGGTGACTCATCAGTACCAAGGCCCTCTCTCACCTGTTTGGTGCGACTTCTTGATTCTACTGACAGATTGTTGTAGGTATAATGAGCTTGTGTGATTCCACAGAAAAGGACTGCTACAACACCTGTCAAGAGATTTTTTAAAAATCAATGGAAAAAGAGGTAGGAAAAAGCCCTGCTGAAACAAAAAGTTAAGGTAGGCAACCCTAGTGTATCCAGCTTTCTAAGTTTTGAGTTTCCTATTACTGAAAGCTCCCTCTGCCCTCACCACTCCCATCCACCTTCCCTCCTCCAACCTTGCCTTTCTTGCTTCAAGGTCAAGTTCTCCAACTTCCCTCCTTGCACCACCATTAAAAGCATTTACACCCTTCCTGTAAATTTCTCCTGAATTTACCATCTGTAGTTGGCAGATAGCATTCATTCCAAGAAGACTGAGAGAACCCATTGTACATTTTTGTCATATTCCTCTGTTTTTAGAATGAATAGACTTAATTTATAATCAATGCTTTGTATTTTTGTATAGCCTCAGGATTCAGGCAAAATAGACTGGGAGTACTACCCCATTTATCCAAGGCCTAATGATCTAGATTTTTGGCTAATAACAACCATTGTGCCACGCAAGGCAACTGACACACCTGTGACTACACGTTCAGAGAGAACTGTCAAGTTTTAAGGACGTGGGGTACTTTTTCATGCTGCATATAAAGATATATTGCACTGTTTTGATACAACTACTTCCTAAGTACCTGAATTGTATGTAGCAATTATACTTAAGTTTTCTAATGGAAAAACCTGTGGTTTTTTATTTTTAAAAATTTGTTAATATGTATGTATGTATGTATGTATGTATGTATGTATGTATGTATTTGTACCACTGAAGATTGAACCTAGGGTATTTGCACTGATCTATATCTCCAGTCCTTTTTTTATTTTGAGATAGGGTCTTATTAAATTGCTAAATTGCCTGGCTGAGTTTGCAGCTGCAGTTCTCTTGCCTTAACCTCCCTGAGTTCAGGGGTTACAGGAATGTGCCACCACACTCAGCTTCAGTGATTTTTTTTAGATGACAGAATGTGAGGAAATTAAAATACATGCTTAATCACACTAATATTATAGGTTGAGCATCTCTAATTTGAAAATCTGAACTGCTCCAAAATCTGTAACTTTCTGAACACTTGACATCGTGATGGTTAATCTTGACTGTCAACTTGACTGGTTTGAGAGATGCACAGATGATTAGGAAAGCAAACTTCTGGGTGTGTCTGGGTGAGTTGTGGGGACGTGACCACCTTGGAGACTAAATTTGGTCTCTGGCCTTTTCCTCTTTGGTTCCTCCCTTGTATTCTGCTTCTCAGGTAGCAGGAGTTGAGCAGCTTTCCTGGGCCACACCCTTCTACCATTATGTTTTTGCCTTGGACTCAGCCAACCATGGACTGAAACCATGAGTCAAAATAAACCTCACCTCCTTTAAGTTACAGCTGTCAAGTATTTTGTCCTAGCAACCAGAATGCAGACTAATACAAATATAATTCAACAAATGGAAAATTTCACACCTGACTTCATGTGATCAGTCATAGTCAAAGCACAAGCGCACAACACAGACCTTACTCAATATCCCCAGGGGGGAAAAATCCCTCCCAGCCCCTTCAGCTGTAATACACAATTGCTTCATGTACAAAACTATTAAAAATAGTATATAAATTTATCTTCAGATTCTATGTATAATGTATACTGTAAAACATAAATGAATTCTATATTTAGACTTGGATCCATCCCCAAGATACCTCATTGTGTATATGAAAATTTTACAAAATTTTAAAAACATGAAATACAAAACACTTCTGGTCCCAAGCATGATGGAATGGTGAATATGTAAATGAAATTGACACCACAAAAACATGCATGATATTGAAAAACAATTATTAAATAGCCCAGAGACAAAACAATGAAAAACTGTTCACCCTTATTTGAGTTTATGCAAAATTTCCTTGAAAAAGACACATATTTGCTAGTTACTGTTACTGTTTGTAAAATCACACAGCAATCTAGGGGAGGATATAAATAAGATTTGAGTATATTCAGTAGCCTTTGCAGGAAAATGTCTACTTTATAGTTATGATGAGTATGCAAAAACATAACTAACTTTGGAATAATATACTTTATCCTTAAAAATTTGTCACTTTTGGAAACTCACTGTTTAAATAAGGCAGAACACTAGCTTTGTTCAGCATTCCTCAGATACTCAGTGAGCAATGAATTAACTTTATGAAGCTGCTATCTAAAAATTCCTCTAACTCCTCAAGTTCTCACATCTCCCACTACAGTGATGGGGCAGATAACCTAAGAGTACAGAGAACCCACCTGTAAATCCACATGCTTCTGCCAAGAGGAATGTGCTCCAGGACATCAGGAAGAAGAGTGCTGTCTCTAGCAGGGGAAAGCAGTGCAGCTTGGTAAACTTGGTCACGTTGGCATCCTGTCAAGGACTTTAGTTCCAAGCATGGTTATTGAGGTCTAAAAAGCTACCTTTTTTTTTTTTGAGGTGCTGAGCATTGAACCCAAGGTCTCATTCATGTTAGGTAAGTGCTCTATCACTGAGCTACATCCTTAAGACAGTTACATATTTTTTAAGCTCTCCAGGAGAACAGAGGTTACTAGAGGGTGGGGGGAGGGGGAGGGTACAGAGAGCTTGTTTCGAATGAGGAAAAAGTTCTTCGAACAGGTAGTGGGGATGGTTACACAACCCTATGAATATATTTAATGTCACTAAATTGTATTTTAAATAGTTAAATGGTGAGTTTTCTTATATATATTTAATCACAAATTTAAAAATTAATAACAATGTACTGAAAAGCTTCAAACTGTACAATTTAAATTGGTAACTTGTACAATGTCAATTATTTATTATAGTTACATGAATAAATTCCTGGCCTCAGGCTTAATTGGTGAGTTAATTCTGGTAGGACTGGGAGGACCTCAGGCAGGCCTGAGAAGACAGGTCCTTGAGACTCTGCCCCATCTGAGTCACTAAGGCCTGAGTGCACAAGGTGCCTTATGAAGGCATGGAAAACAAAAATGAAATGCGTAATTCCAGGGAGCCACCAGGTGCTATGGTCTCCTTTTGGAAACAGCAGAAATCCTGTCCTAATACTGCCTTTCAACATGGGACCAGCAAAGATCCATCTCATGGAGGAGTTCAGTGCCCAATATAAGTCACAGGGTACCAAAAGAACCTCTGTGAACAAACCATCAAAATCTGTACTGACACCATAGCCACTAGCCACATGTGGCTACTCAACACTTTCAATTTAGCTAGTTAGAATTGAAATGTGCAAAGACATCCTATTTCAAAGACTTAAAGCAAAAGATGAATCCACAAAATCACATTAATAATTTTCATAATATTCTACTGATCCCATGCTGAAATGATGTGGCTAGCATCAAGGAGAATACAATGAAGGACTTGGCACACGTGGGTTGCCTGCTCTTTCCATATTTTGCTTTTTTGGTCGGTTGGTTGTTTTAAACTAAAGATTGTGCCATTCTTTGCTTATGGAAGGAAGGCTCCTATGCAGTATTCTGCACTGATGGCCCACGGCTCATTATGGCCACGTTAATACCCATGTGGCCCTGCACAACAGACAGCAGCTACAACCTAGAGCTAAAGGACTTCCCAGACAGTGGTTCCTGATTGCTAACCTTCTTAGAGTTCCTCAGTTCTTTTCATCCCCCTAAAACTGATGTTTCAACTGGTTCCTGAGAAAGGGAGAAAAAAAGCAAAGAAGAGGACAAAGTGGAGCCTAGAGCTACACTCCCAATGTTCTCAAACTCTTACCAAGAGACCCAACCAACATGTGTCACCAAAGGGACACATTTCAGGAATGAATCGCCACATTCCAGTGGAACAACCAATTTAAGATTCTGATCTGAAAGGAAGATCTGAGAATATTCTCTTCAAAAGTATAATGTCACATATGCATACCCAGGCAGGGGTAGAAACACAAAAGGATATCAGAGCAGTCACAACACCAGTCACAGCTCCCATGGTAAAAGAGCCACTAAATATACCTAGAAAAATGCCAACTGACTTAAAAAAGGCAGCTGCATCAAAGGCATGAGTGTTCAACCCTGCTGGTTGGTAGGCAACAATAGACCTGGAATAAAAAAAAAGAGTTAAAAAAAACACTGCCCCCTTCATTCACAATTTCACTTTTCATAGTTTCAGCTGAAATCAACCAGTCTGAAAATACCAATGGAAAATTCCAGAAATAAACAACTTCTAAGTTTTAAACTGTGTGCCGTTATGAGTAGCATGATGAAATATCACATCATCCAACTCCATCCTGCTTAGAAAGTAGAGCATTCCTTTGTCTAATGTATCCATACTGTAAACCCTACTTGCCCATTAGTCACCATTCATGTTCAAGAAACCCAGAGAGCAAGAATAGTGATTATGGCAATTCAGATATGCCAGAGAGAAGCCATTAAGAGCTTCCTTTAAGTGAAAAAGTGAAAGGTACAATGCGATATTCTGAAATGCACAGGCCTCACATTCACATAACTTATTATTATGTATTTTATTATTAGCTACTATTGTTAATCTTTTTCCCTGCCTAATTGATAAATTAAGTTTTAACATAGATATGTACATATAGGAAAAAACATATAGTATACACAGGGTTAGGTACTATATATGGCTTCAACCATCCACTAGGAGTCTCAAAACATATCCCCAGAGGATAAGGGGGGACTCCTGTAACTAAAAATATCAACAAACATAGGTATCGATGCTCTACCAAGCAGTGCCCAGGATAGTCATTTAATTTAATCTGCAGTCACTGTGTTATGCTGGCATCAGCATTCTGATTGCTGCAGAGTGGACAAAGCAGCACAACTTTATAAACAAAACTGATAAATCTTATTTAGAAAAATGTCCAATTCAATATTAAACACCTTAAAGATAGCCCTCTGAATTTGGCCCCAAACATGCAAGAAATCTACTTACGAAGACAGTACAATGGCAACAGCATCATTTAGGACGCTCTCTCCAAACAGAAGTGCATAAAGATCCACATCTGCATGCAGTTCATTAAATATAGCCAGCACGGTCACTGAAAAGTCAGCCCAAAGCACAATAGTTAGTTTTGGTTTCTGCCCTTAAACCACTGATTATGGATTTATAAGAGGCAATTCTTACTTTAGATGGAACTAGGTAGTTCAGGAGACAGTGAGGGAGTCAAAGATGGACTGTTTGTTTCTGGCAGAAAAGGAAATAGCAATCTTCCCAATCTGAGTGAGCTTTGATATGACCTTTGAGACTAATGACCCTGTATCCAAACACTATGCTTTCCACTGCAATTCCATTACACTTTGAAAATACCTGGTACAAAACTTTAAAAAAAAAAATCGCATTACTATGGCTTGGCTTTTCTGATGGGCTGCTTACCACTGCACTCCCAGAACCCACCAAAAGATCAGGGCACAAAGAAAACTGTCATAAGATTTATAAAATAATGAAAGTCTTTACTTTCCATAGTTTTCATATTTCTTGAATATTTAGAAATTAGCTATTCTCCAGATCAGTGGTTCTCAACCTTTTGGCCTCAGAACTCCTTTATATCCTTAAAAATTATTGTGCTTCCCTTAAAGAGCCTGTCTGGAGGGTCATAGCTATGGATATTTACTGGATTGACTAAAACAAGAAAAAATACTTATTTATTTAAAATTAATAACCCACTGCATATTAACATGAATTTTTTTGTACCAGCGACTGAACTCATGACCTTGTGCTTACAAGGCAGGTGCAGTGCCACTGAGCTAAATCCCTGGCAGGATTACATTTTCTAAAACAAAAAAGTGAAAAGAGAGTCAATTGTTCACATTTTTACAAATTTATTTAAACATCTGGATTAAGAGAAGGCAGATGCTTCTCACATCTGTTTCTGTATCTGAGCAACACATAGTCAATATCACATTATGCAGCCACTTGAAAACACCACTGTATGCCGTGAAAGATGAGATTAAAAAAGACAAATAATGTACTACCACTCTTATTAAATCACTTCTAGCTGATGAATCCCATGAAAGAGTTTTAGCTCCCCTTACAGACAGTGTCACCTCTACCTGGTAGAAGAGAGCAGAAAGGCTACATATATGTAGCCAGCTTGCCTCTGTGGAGCAAATGACGTACCACCAAAACCCAAAGATGGTATAGTAGAAAGATCCAGTGCCCAGATGCCTGAGTGGACCAGGAACCATAGTATCAACTTGTAACTGGTACCCAAGATAAAGACCTTTTTGTACAAGATGGTATCAGATATTTCTGTTACTTTTAGCCAAAAGCACTACTAACTGATATAATTAGAAAACCAAAGCAAAAAAATGCCTCATTTAGTGAGTTATTATAAGCCAGTGAGTCTTGTCACTACCATATAGTTCAAGAAGCAGAATTTGCCAGCCCTTTTGGAAAGCTTCCCCATTTGTCCCATCCTGATCTCAAACTCCTTTCTTTACTCACACAGAGCCACTACATGAATTTTTTTTTTGAGACAGAGTCTTGCTATGTAGTTCAGGGTGTCCTTGAAAGCACTATGCAGCCCAGGCTGGCCTCCAAATCCCACCAATCCTCCTGCCTCAGCCTCCTGAGTGCTGGGATTATAGGTATGCACCATCTTGCCTGGCTATATGAATTTTATAGTAACCATTTCCTTGCCTTTCCTTATAGTTTGATTACCCAAATGCACATTCCCTGACACTACCATTTAGTTTTGTTCATTTAAAAGAGAATATACTTCTTTCTCACTGTTAGGTTCCCTTTCTATTCCCTTCTGTCAGCTCTCTTTACATAATGCTTTATTGTTTAGTTCTCTCATTTCTAAATTTTCTTAATCTTATAACCCTGATGCATGGAGTTATTTCATAACTTCTATCATTTTCTTTATTTAGCTTCATTCGAAATATGAAATTTCATTCTTTTGAGGGTCCCATTTTTCTCGTATGACTTCATTATCCGTAGCTTTATTATTCAAGGGGCTATCCTAATTTTTTCCTTATGTTGCCACGAAGTTCAACCTCAATCCATTTCTGTTGCTCATTTAATTCAGGTGGATGAGGGGCAGAAGTGGACCCAGAAGGGCTTTCCTAGTTTCATGGCTCTACTGCTCCCTCTTCTGGTTTTATACGGAAATGTTACAAACACGGTAAGACCACCTCTCTCATACTTTCTGAGTTCTATTGCCTCTAGCCCCTTCCTCCATTAGTATCTAAATTGTCTTGGTCCTTTAATGCCCTATCAATCAGGGTTCACTGTCCTTCCAGACAGATCTCTGCTGGGTATTTCCGAGAGCCTTGGGAATCCAGATCACTGCTATGGCCTTTAACCTCCTCGAGTCTCCTTGAACTCATCCACAAATTTGAGCCTGGAAAGGAAAGCTCCTGCCAATTTTACTGTTATCACACAGGCCACAAAGTTCTTTACTCTCAGTAGAAATGCCTCCTTAGTGTGTAAATATTGGTGGGAACTTTCAGGGTTACCTGAAAGTCAATGATCAACAATCCCCTTTGCACTATTCCTGTACCCAAGCCTCACTGCTTCAGGTGGGATAGTCTGTCAACTAGTTTTATCTCTGTGTTCTTTTGCTGTTCTGCTTTCTCTCTTTTTGCTATAGATTAAGGGAAATTTCATAATGACACTGCCCCCAACATCCCTTCCTTTTCCAAAAGCTTAATTCATTTGTTGAGAGGAAGCAAAAAATAATTGGATTTCAAAAATATCTTCTATATCATCACAAACAGACATTAGTACCATCAGCTATAGTTCATAAAGGACATGTCATTTTCATAATAGAGATGTCATCACAAGATTCAAAGTCAATGTCTTTCCTTTATCCTGGAATATAATCTAGCAGGTCACGCAACAGGAAAAATCTTCCAGGGTGAGGCTTTTTAAAAAGTCTTTTTCCTCAACTTTTATTACATAAAAATATTTGTGGCTCCTCGTGTAAACTCTATTAGTTTACCACTCTATGACATAAGAATTGTCTTCTTTTCATTTTGTTTTGGGGTTTTCTTACAGTACTAGGGATTGAACCCAGGGCTTCACATATGCTAGGCGAGTGCTTTACTACTGAGCTATCTCTCCAGCCCTTTTTATATTTTATCTTAAGAGAGGATCTCACTAAGTTATCCAGGCTGGCCTCAAATTTGCAACCCTCCTACTTCAGCCTCCTGAGTAGCTGTAATTTCAGGCATGCACCCCTAGCCAAGCAGAACTTTCTGAATTGCTTAAGAAAATCTAATAATGATAATAACAACAACAACTACTACTGGGGATTTACCATGAAGCAGGCACTATGACAAAAATTTTACAGTCTTATCTAGTCATCACAGAACTCTGTAAGGAGGGTAGTTTTATCATTTCCCCTAATTTAGGAATGAGAAAACAGGCTGCTCTATGCTACAATATTGAAATTCCTGAAATCTCAGGGGCTGAACACAAGAAATGTGTTCATCACTCATATCACATGTCCACCATGAGCCAGTGCAGGCCTCTGTCCACATCAGTCACCCAGGGACCCAAGAATGATGGGGCCTAGTCTCAGTGAACACAGCTCAGCTTGCCTAGCCATAGGATGTGATCCTAGGACTCTAGGATGCTAGGTCTCTACCAGTCAGGATAGGTCCTGGCAGGAAACAATGGTACCCTCAAACACAAAAATTTGAGGAGAGTTTCATAAAGAAGTTATTTATAAAAATGTGGGCAGGGTACAGGGAAATGCCAAGGGAGAAGACAGTACTTGAAGCTAGAGACAAGGAGCTTCTGTATCATCCCAAGGCCTGAGGGCTCCAAGGGAAGAAGTGGTTACAAGAACCTGGACTTGTAGGGAGAGGGTCACCTGACGGGATCTGTGACCTCTGATCAAGAGGCCTGGCTGGTCTGCATAGCTCCTGCATCTCTGTCCTCCTCTCAGTGCCACTCTGCCATGGATACTTCCAGTGGGAAATCAGAAGGCAAAAGAACCTTTGGCATATTCCATGCAAGTCAGCTTCCTGAGGCCAAGAGGAGGTGGAGAAGTGTAATGAGTAAATCTGGAGAGGCAAACAGAAGCCATCCAACAGAGCACCAACTGGCTAGGAGAACTCAGCACATAATAAAATCCAACATGGTTTGCCTAAAATACTACAATTACCAATAGTTAAAAACACTATATAATCAACTCACTGATCCATGGACTTAGAAAGGCAAATATTATGTGTTTTCCCTAACATGTGCAATCCGAAAAAGATGACATGAAATTAGAAAGGAGATTATTATTAGACAAGAGGAAGGAAATAAGGTAAGGGAGGTGTAAGGGAAGGTAAAGGGGAGACAGAACAAAGCTATTAATAACATCATTAAGAGATCATGATGTTGACATAAATTTACTGAGGTGAAAGGTTATCTACTATACTCCATTAAGTGAAATAGTGGTTACAAAACAATGTGGCACTGTCAATTTTTTATTTTTAAAATGTAATAACGTATAGAGATATCAAGAAATCATCTAGAATGGTGTTCACTTAACTGTTTTTTTTAATATATATATTTATTGGTACATTTTAGGTATAAAATACATTTACATTTATCATTGGGTGTTTGTACCAGAACATGATGTATCTTAGTTTTTATTTTTTCTCCCATTACCTGTGCACCCTTCACCCCCTCCACCCTTCCCTATTTACACAGAGTTTGATTCCATTTTTTTTTCTCATAATTTTTTCTTTCCCTTCTTCCCCTTCCCCTTTCCTTTCCACTATCCCCAAACCCTTGGGACCTTTTCTTATTTCAAATTATCAATTATTCATTTTAATCATTTTCATCCTTATTTACACTTTCAATTTCTCACACTAGAGAAACTTTGGTATTTACACATGTGTGTCCTATTTATTGCACTTAAGAGTATGGCCTCAATGTGCATCCATTTAGCTATAAATGTCTCTAGTTTCTCATTCTTTATGGCTGAGTAGTACTCCATTTTATAAAAAAAAACCACATCTTCTTTATCCAGTTTCCAGTAAATGGGCACTTGCACTCACTTATCTGTTTTAATCTGTCACTGGGAGTGAGATGCTGAGCACATTTTTCCTGTTGTATTAGAGTAATTTTTGACTTGCAACATTATAAAATGTTTCTAACTGGAGGAAATTAAGAACTGCTATAAGTGTGAGGTGATGGATGTGTTAATTAGCTTGATTATAGTAATCATTTCACAACATATGTAGATCTGAAAACATCACGTGGTATCTGTTAAATATATGATTCTGTCATTTATACTCAATATTTTATAAAGCAAATAAAAAGACTGCAGGTGGTAGAAATATAAACAAAAGTAAAGAAATTACTAATACAAAAGTCCAGGGTGAAGTAGCCTTCCTAGAGGAGGAAGGAAGATGCAGGCACTATGACAAAAACAGCTTGAAGTTGTTCTTTCATTCTTCCTGGTAAAAACATGGTTATTCACTGATATTAAACTATACAATTTTCTTCCATGTACCCCTCCAAATGTGTTTCATTTCACAGTAAAATGTTTTTACATTTAACAGAATCAGGAAAAAATTAGTGACTGCTCTGAATTTTTAAAGATTTAAATAATACAATATTAAAATGATAAAGGCAAAGATACAAATACCTGGATCAGTAGCAGAGATAATTGCTCCAAAAAAGAGACAATCTGTGTAATAAAATTTATCAGAGAGTTGCCCCACAATCTTCATGAGCTTCACCACACCATACATGAGATTTCTGTAAGAAGGAAGTAAATTATGTCAGGAAAAAACCCTGCAAACATGCAAGCAGAGGGGTTGCATGATTTAAAGGAGATTTATGAAAACAACAGGCAGCTGCTGTGGCTGGACACTTACCAGGAACATTGGCAAATAGAAACTTGGCACCTGTAATGGTGTGTAGTTAATGTCATCTTGATGAAACATGTGAATATTTCAATTTTTAAAAAATTAATTCTCTTGGTACATTTTAGGTATACAATATTTCATTTTTAAAAGTTGTGATACCAACCGTAACAGCTACTAAGAATGGTCTTCAGTTAACAAAATTAAGGCATCTTAAGCAACTGGGTAATAAAGGAGAAGGAAAAAGATAAAACTGACATAATACATAATAAATTGCTACAAAACTCATAGATTCTAAGAGAGTACATTTAAAGTAATACAAATGAATGGGCTGGGTGAAGCCAGAGGGGAAAAATGAGTTGGTCACAAAGATCCACATGATTGACCTGTTACTGCCTTCTCTGCCAAGAATTATTGCAAGAAAGAGAAAAGAAGCAAAACTTTTAAATGTCCTATTAACACATCAATGTCCCCACTGACACAGCTGGCCTCTTGTTCTGCATGGGTTAGGCAGGCCAGCAGCAACCCTCCTTACGTTGTGTAGAACATGACATTGTCCAACAGGGACTGCAAAGTTCAATTTTTCAGCTCGGCTGAAGAACATTTCTTACATGACAGATTACAAATTAGGAATACCGAGGAGTATTTTTAAAAGGCCTAGCATATGAAAGAAAAGCTCGGGTATGTGTTACAAGGGTGTGTGTGTGTGTTTGTGTGTGTGTGTGTAGTGATACAGCAGCTGCAGGGGTTAAGGAAGTAAAAATAACCACGCATTAACTTATTTATTCTATAGTCAACCCTGTTATAATGAGATTTGTGATGGACTCTTTTTGGGGGGGGGCGGGTATTGAACTCAGGACCTTACGCTTGAGAGGCAGGCGCGGTGTCATTAAGCTAAATCCCCAGCCCATGTGATGGATTCTTAGAACAGTGGACTGGCCAAGCTAGAAGCGAAAAGAACTAATGTTTGCAAAATGGAATCCTCATGAGAAGAAATAGTTACAACTTAGTGTTTGCCTAGTAAGTGCCAGGTACTGTTCCAAACACTTACCTATTTAAATTTCAGTTCATATCCATTCTATGGCACAGATTTGATTTGCCCTTTCTTGCTCACCAATGGCTTCTTTCATATACCTTTTAAACATTTCCTGAAGCTAGATCCTCCTCTCCATTTCCCTCTACTACAATCTTAGACCTGGTCAACTGAGTTCTCTGGCAGCCTTTTCCTCGTCTTGCCTCCCAGTGCCATTAATGCCAGTTGTGTAACCTGTAGTTCATCAGTGATTTGTCATTTCTTAAAGGATAAACTCTAAGCCCCTCCTTTCTTGACAAAATAAAAGGCCACTGCATTTATCTCCAGGTTTCCAGCTATTTTTTTTTAAATTAACTAACATCCTTAGTGTAGTCTTTTCTGTTCCAAGATCCTATCCAGGTACCATATGACATTTAGTCATCATATCTTTCTAGTCTCCTCTTACTTGTGACAGTTTCTTAGACATTGCTTATTGCTGATGACCCTGGCAGTTTTGAGGAATACTGGGCAGGTATTTTTGTCCTTCATTTGGAATTTGATTTTTTCTCATGGTTAGACTGAAGTGATAGTTTTGGGGTGAAAGACCAGGGAGATGAAGTACCATTCTCATCACAATTATCAATGGCACATACTATCAACATGACTTATCACTTCTGACATTGACCTTGATCACCTCACTCAAGTATTATCTTCCAGGTTTCTCCACTTAATTGCTATTCTTTTTTCCCTCTTTTCTGTACCATACTCTTAAGGAAAAGGAATTATGCACAGCCCACACTCAAAGCAAAGTTGGGATGAGGTATTAGAATGGGGGTACTAAGTTATACCTCCTTGAAGGGATGTCTCTACAAAAACGATTTGGAATTTGGCACAGGAGATTTTTCTCTTCTCTCCCATTCATTTATTCATCCAATCATTTATTTATTTTACTCTTTGGATGATAATATAATATAAACACAATGTAGTCATTTTGTTGTTCTTTACCCACTGTGGCCAATACAGGAAATTTCAGGTTGGTTCTTGTGTCCTTTTGACATGCCCCTCATCCTTGTGTTTGTATGTCTTGGGCACTTACTTTGTAGCATTACAAGAAGAAGTTTCATGTCTATTTTCTTTCCCACCCTTAGAATAAGCCATTTCTGCAAGGGGCTCTGTTTTTTTTTATTGGAGAATTATAATAGAAGCCAAGATCTGGGAACTGGGAATAACTGTATTTAATTTTAATCCTTTATTTTTTCAAAAATATGTTTATTAGTACATGTTTGCAGTACATAATGATTATATTCATCACGGGGGTGTTGGTACACGTACATAACACATCTTAATTTCCTTTTTACTTCCCCTTGCCCTCATATCCCTCCCCCTTCTCCATCTCTAGGTCTTCTTCCCATTCATAGAGGATGTATCGCCCTATCTTGTATTATTTATTTTTTATTTTGCTCTTTAAATTATTTGTACTTTGGGTTTCTCATATAAGAGAAACCATGCAATATTTGTGTTTATGTGTCTGATTCTTTTCAGAGTTCAATTTAATTTTAATCTTAATTTAAATAGCCACATGTGGCTAACAACTACTATACAGGACAGCACAGCTCTCTATCCTAACTGCCATCACCTCAAACTCAAAATACTGGACTCTGTGCACCCATGTGAGTTTCATCCCTTTAGGAAGTGTGTTAGTTTGGTTATATGACAAAGATTCCCTTACCCAATAATGAAGCAAGAAACAGCAGTCCCCAAGAAGGCATAGGCCAGAATAGATCCAAGATTTCTGAAAAAGTGTCTCTGAATAAAACAAACAACAAAGAAAAACAGGAATTACACTGTGATTTTTAATGGTAAACATAAGTAATAATGACAGAAGTTACTCTTGATTAATGCCATTTGGCCTTAAATATCATGGTTTAAAAATACTCTCTGTGTTGCTAATCACTGAGCAGGCAAGGGCTGGTAAATTTTCAGACAAAACTACTGTGGTTGATATTAAGTTACATGGAATTAAATGGAGAAGGGGAGAGGGAGAGGGAAGGAGGGAGGGGGAGAAAGGGACAGGTAGAGGGAGAGGGAGAGGAAGACAGAAACACTAATCATATTTATAGATTTAACCCAAACCATTTTTACTGTATGATTCAGCTAGTCCCTTCCAGTTCTGATGGTACTTTCAAAGAACATTATAGATAGAAGTGAGAAAGTGTCATCCAAAGACCTTTCTGTTTAATTTGATAGCACAAAATAGAGTCCTAAAAGCCTGTTCATGGGACCTGAACATTTCCTTATATTAATCTGGATTAATCTTTGGAGCCTGGAAAAGAGGGACAATAGAGATGGAAGAGAAATGAGAATATGTAAAGTTCCATTTAAGATGGAATATATAAACATATATAGAAAGAAACTCATACCAATATAAGATCTAGAAATTACTCAGAGGTGGCAAAACTATAATCTTTTCAATACTTCTGCACATTCATTGGTTACCTTAAAAAATACACACGCACACACACACACACACACACACACACAAGAATTTCCTTCTTACAAGTCTTTAAGCCCATGGGATACTCTGACTGTGAGAAAAGCAGTTATGCTTTTCCTTGAAAATCATAAGCCATGGTTCTTATTTCTCAAGGCAAAATCTGTTCTCATTTGACGATCAGAACTATTTAACAACAGAAAAAAAGACAAACAAAATCTCCCAAGCATCCTAATTTAGCAAGGGTCAGGAATATTTTACCTAGAATATTTCAAAAGGCAGCAGGGCCCCAGTGTGCTAGCTGAGTAACACCAGGGAAAGACAAGGCACAGGAAGAAGAAGTCAGCCTGCATCACACAGCCACCACAAAACAGGACCAGACAAAGGCATTTTCTGGCCTGCATCACAGATGGAGAGCTAGAGCTCTCAGCTTCAGCCTTCCCCAATGCCTGCCCCAGTCTGAGGCTGCAAAGTAGATGTCAAGACATGTCCAATACCCTAAGTCACCTGCTAAAAAACGAATACTTCAAGGCCTTGCCATGTCAACAGTCACCAAAGGAGAGTGCTGCCTATACATATTATGGACACACTATGTTTCACTTTTAAATCATTGTCCCCAGTCATTTTTTAAAATAATGCATTTATATGCTAAAATTTTATAAAAGATGATTACATTTTAATAAATCAACAACTGTAAACCCACTTCCCTCTTAAAAAGTGTTAACAGTGCATCAAGGACAAGACATGAGACCAATGACATTAACATGAAGTATCCAGGAACAAATTTCAATCCCAGATGTGCTTCTTTTGCCATTCAGCTTGCTTTTGGATAACCATCCCTGTGATTAGTATGAATATGTATTAAAGTAAATTCATAGTCATGATACTAGCCAAAGCACAAAATCAGAAATGTAAATCTACTAGCAAAACTACATTCATAATATATTCTAGAATCACAAGCACATAAATTACCCATCCCCCATTCATATTTGCTGATATGAACTGAAATTTTACTATACCTTGAAAAGATATACCACTTATTTGACACTACATCTACTACTTAAATGTACACTTCATAGTTCACAAAGTACTTTCACATATATTACCCCATCCAATTCTCACAATACCTCCAGTATGAAGCTATTGTTTATACCATCTTACACAAGAGAAATTTAAGACTCGAAGAGATGACATGAGTTGCCTGAAGTTACATACCCACCAAAACACAGCTCCAGAACTGAAAAGTTAGTCTGAATCCCAGTGCATTGCTCTCTCATTACATAAGCCTCCCTGCTGCCCAGCTTTTTAATCCTACCATTTCCCTTTAGGGATGAAAGAACAGGGGGTGTCCAGTGAAATGCTAGGTCTATCATTCTATGCTTATTTGGCTACAATACAACCAGGTCTGCTGCAGAGTCTCCCCTACTCCTTACTCCCAGGTACTGAATGGTAATAAGAGACAAAAGGAGATGATGGTATGATCCTAAAAAGCCTTCAAGAATCTAGGCCTATGACAGACCAGAACTAGTAAGATTTGCTTTTGGTGAAAATCCCCTTGATAGTCCAATTCCTGGTGTACCATGATCACCCTTACATTTCTACTCCTTGGAACACCCTATCCTCTCCCACTCCTCACTGCCAAGTTTTCACATTTTAGTGTGTTTAGGTGTGTGTGTTTGTGTGTGTTTACTGGGGAAGTTCACCAAAAAATGAAGGCTTCTATAGATGAATTCTTTCCTAGCTGATTCCTTGTATTCAAACCATGACAGCACAAAATCAAAGCTAATTCCAATGGTAACTATTTCAAATCAGAAAAAAGGTCCATGTCTGCACTGAGGACTATACGTACATAGGTCATATGTTCTGCATGTACCTGTTTACATACCACCAGTTAAATAGTGAAATACTTATTACACATTTAACTGACAATATGTTTAATCAGACATAGCAACCACAGTAAGAACCAACTATTTCAGTGCTTTTATAAGGACTATTTAACCCAAAAGACTAGCATGTCAAGAACAGCTTAAATTGGGAACTAGCAAAGCCTGTTATTTGTTTTTCTTTTAAGAAAATAGGACTGATGAAGGGAAGACTGTGCAAACATGATATTTTTTCAGCTATTAAAGTGGCTTTCACAACCCATAATTTGATTTCATTTAAGGTAATTATGTTTGATTATAAATGGAGATTAGTTGTTTAAAATGCCAAATTATTCATCATTCATTTTGGTCTGAAAAAAGTTCCCAAATTCTCCATTTAGGTAAATAAATACATTTATTTAGACTCATAATAACCATCTCCTATGTATCTCGTGTCAATAAATGACATATAGGTTCAGATGATTTTGGCAACCCCATAGGCGAGTCAGGAACATTGTATGGTTTATTTTTGAAGAACACCTAAGTCCAGAGACAGTATAATGGTGGGCCCTGGAATCAAAGAAGGCATAACCTTGACTCAGTCCTACACCATCTACATAACCTTACTTGCACCATTAATCTTTCTAAGTTTGGTTTTATCATCAGTGAAATACAGGACACTCTTTACAAGTCAAGTGAGTGTACAAATGTGTGTTGGGCTGGTGTGCAAAAATGCACAGTCTCCTACTCCAAAAGTATCCATCATGGAGACAAGATTTCTATTCCATCCCTCTACCTGTGACACTCCCACTCTGCAGTTGATGCAGTGAGGGGTCACTTTAACTATGAAAAGGGAAACTGGGTTGACTCTGACTTGCAGTTTTGACCCTCTACATGGTAGGGGATCATACTTTCTCCTCTAACCTCTATGCTGTGAGCAAAAGAAGCAGCCTTTGGTAGCCCCAGTGATTTCTAGGATCTCTCCACTTCAGCCTCCATACCTAATACTATGACCAACCTGATGACTAAAGGACATCTGTCTTCAATTGATGAATGGGTTGTAAGGAGCCCCATTACTAAAGGCTACACTACATACTGTGACACAGGCTTACCAGGGATGCTGGATCATGAATTTACCATTTAATCACGAAGTAACTGCTTTTGTCTGTTTTCAGTATACTGGAAACCTGACAGAGAGGCAGTATGAGCTAATAGCCAAACACTATCACTTTCTTAGAATTTATGTGAGTATTAGAAAATATATATATAAAACAAATAAGTAAGTATATATAAAGTTCCTATACATACTTGATGCTCTATATAACTATATTTATGTTGGATGGAAACAGTTGTAAAACTTTCTGAAAACTGGAGTGGCTTTGACAGAAAAACCAGTTTGATGGGCAGGCCCTCTCATAAAACGATTTAAGAAGTGTTCCTTCCTCTTTTTGAAAGAATTTGTGTAGGACTGGTATTATTTCTTCTTTAAATGCTTGATATAATTCACCAGTGAAGCCATTTGGGCTAGTGAGGAGGTTTTTAATTCAAAATTCATTTTTAAAAATTAGCATAGGGCTGTTCAAGTTTTCTGTCTTGGGTCAGTTTTGGTAATTTGTATTTTTCAAGGAATTTGTCTATTTCACCTAAGTTGTCAAATTTACAGGCAGAAATTTGTTCATAGTATTCCCTCATAATCCTTTTCATGTCTGAAGTATCTGCAATGATGTCCCCTCTTTTATTCCTGATACAGGTAATTTGTTTCTTTCCTCGTTTTTCCCAATTGAGTTAGAGTTTATCACCTTGGAAGGCCTTCCCTAGTTCCTAAAGATACTGTTGAGTTTTAGATTTCTCTTCTCTAGAATCACTGAAAAGGTTGTCTTAGTTCTCATTCAGAGAGAGAGCTGAAATAAGATTCATGGCTGTTATCTCTGGAAAGCCTTTTTGGAAAGCTAATTTTCACAAAATATCCCCACAGTGGGAGAGAAAGGGAGTTGCCCACACTGTGTAACAGTGTTTGTTTGGTATTTTAAATAACTAGAAGTGTAAGCCTAATGTTACTGTCAAGCAAGCATAATGACCTCAATGATAAGGATAGTTAAGTTTCTTAAAACTTTTTTATTTTGGGATAAACATATACTCACTGAAGTTGCAAAGACAGTAAAAGAGGTCTTCTATACCCATCACCTAGCTTCCTTCACTGGTTATATGTTATATTAACTATAGGAAAGTTTCAAAACCAAGAAAATGGCGTTGGGACAATTGTGTGGATAGTTAAATGTTATTTTATCACACGTGCAGATTTCCTATTAGTACAATTAAGACACAGAACTGAGTTGGTGATGTGGCTCAGGGGTATGTCTCAATAGTTTGTTCTACTATGTGGCTGAGTACTATTTATAGTATGGATGTACCACAGTTCTTTTAACCATTCACCTACTATTGGACATTTTGGTTACTTCTCCAGTTTTTGTCTATTACAAATGAGGTAGTATGAACAATTGGGTATACAGGTTTTTGTGTGAATATAAGTTTCCATTTCTCTGAGATAAATCTGTAGTAGTGAAATTATTGGGTCCTATGGCAATCTCAACTTTAGTTTTATAAGAAACTGCCACTTTGTTTCCCAAAGTGGCTGTACCACATTACCTTCCCCCTGGAGGTATAGAAGAGTTCTAGCTTTTTAAAACAGAAATGAATCACTGACGATGAGTCACCTATAGTCTCTGAATGGGTGAGGAAAACAATAATTAGCAATCTCAGAGAAGAAAAAACTAGTAAACTCTGCAGGTAAATTAACACAGAGATATTCATATGTCTTAGGAAATTACTGGCAAAACCCTCTTACCTTCTTTAAACTGTATCCAGCATGGAAAATAATTGGAGGTAACAAAATGTTGAAAAACACCTCTGGGTCAAATGTTACCTAAAAGTTTAAAAAGAAAAAAGCCAATTTTTAGTATGATGCTATAATATGTCCTTAATATTGGAAGCCACTGGATAAAACTTAAATATCTGCAGCAAATAAAACCAATGTGACAAATCACAGACTCAGTCCAGAAGAGAAGCCATAATTTCCCTGTAGAATGACATGTTCTTCTCCTTACATTACTTCTGATTTATGATCTCGGTGTGGTGGTTTAATCCATATTAAGACACAACAGTTCAGTGCAATTTTGAGAACTCACAGAAAGGTACTAACCAATGTTTTCAAATAAGAAATAAAAACATCTTGATTTTTATCACACCTTTATAAAAGCTTAACTGCAACAAAATGCTGTCATGATTCTTTATTAACTTTCTGGATTCTCTCACATAATCTTTTATAGACATAATTCTGAATTTGAGTGCCTTCTAAGTGAGCAGTATTCTTTAGTTTTGTTTTTGGTACCGGGAATCGAACTTGGGACCTTGGGCTTGTGAGGCAGGCACCAGAACCACTGACCTAAATCTCCGGCCCGAGCAGTATTCTTGATACTTGATGTGGCCTAGATCAAAGTTGTCAGTAAGTCTAGTGGATTTGTGAATGTCACTATAAATTCAGTAACTCTAAAGAAACTGAAATCATCTATAGGGTTGATATAAGGAAATCACTCTGAAACTTCTAGACAGCAAAGTCTTATCACATTCAGAAAGAGAATTAAGCGTTCTATAAACACACTAATCTTTTTTAAACAAATTTGTTCATGTGGGTAGACTAACTGGCTTTTATTTCAATTAATTATCTTAAATCTCCATTCTAATTATTAAAAGTTAGTTTTCTTTGGAAATTTGAGGTGTTAATCAGCCTAATTAAAAAAGAATGGTTCTTGGGCTGGGGATTTAGCTCAGTGGTTCCACCACCTGCCTCCCAAGCACAAGGTCCCAAGTTCAATCCCTGGTACCAAAAAAAAAAGAATGGTTCTTTCAAATTATGCTTTATTCTATCTTCTTGCTAAAGATAAGAGTAGCCTGAACAGCAGGGAATGTCAGAATGAGTAGGGCCCTTGGACCTCCAATTAGTTAAAGTGAACTAAAAATAAGTAACTAAGGGGGAGTATGGGGACCCAGAGTCAGAGAAATTAAAAAAGTACAAAGGGTTGGTCAGTATGTATGAGACTAGGTGAGCTGTGTTTGTTGGCTGGTAATTATCAGTTAGGATTCTGTCCTTCCATGTAATCTTAGAGACTGAAATCTTTACTCTTTTGATGGCTATGTACCTGATAATGTATTGGGATCATTTCATTTTTTCCCCCTACCCTACCCAATCCAATCTGAAGAATTCAAGCTGCCATTTCAAAATAGCCATTAGTGTGGTATTTACTCTGGCTATCTCTCACAATTGCATTTAATTTTACAATGTTTATGGAAATTCTATTCTTTCTTAGGAAGTGCTGGGAGTCCCAACAAGATGATCATATTTAATACTCCAAGTTGAGAATAAATTTCCTTAAGGATTAGTACATTCTAATAAAAGATATTTAATTTTTGTAACATTCTTTATACTCTACCTTTGCCTGCAGGTCTTCATATACATTAACCTTGTTCTATATTTTAAAAGGCTCCCCACAACCTGGATTTCCCAGACCACTCTACAGAAGCCTTGTTGCTGATAGGCCCTAGTCTATATGGCAATGGAATATATGTCAAGTAATACAGATCTTGTTTATCCTGGAAATCTCCCACATGAGGAGATATATAATCCTTTTTTTTTTGGTACAGGAATCGAACTCAGGGCCTTGCACTTGCCAGGCAGGTGCTGTGCTGCTGAGCTACATTCCCTGCCCCTATAATCCTTTTTCTTGTGGAACATTTTTGCTATTCCAACACCAAATTAAAAAACAATGTTTGGACTAAATTCTAAGTCAACAAGCCCTGCTTCCCTTGAAGGTTCATTAGGTCTTTGTCATTAATCATAATGAGAGTATGCATTCAAATATTATTTGTAGAATATGACAAAAGAACCATAAAGAACTAAGAACCGCACTTCTGAATACTAAATAAGCAAGCTAAAAGTGAAATCAATAATATTTTTAAAAAGAAATAATCTCATATCTAATCCATAACACGGAAAAGGGAAAAGAGTAAAAGAAGAGATGGTAGTTAGACAAATGAGGTGAGCGGAGACAGGCAAGTCCATTGCACAGTGATCCACATCAGCCACAGATCCTAACAAGCTTAAGAAGGTCACAAAGCTGAAAGGCTCAAATTAAAATCTACTTTCTTCTCATGATGGCCTAAAAGCTTCCTAGCAAAACTGAGAACCAGGAATGTCACGGATATTCCAGGAGTTTGGAAAGATTTCTCTCCACAAGGTCAAAACAGAGCCATGGAATCAACGACGATGCCATTGACAACGGTGTGCCAGCTTACCTTCCGCAGCATGTCATTCTGCTCTACACTGTTGACCTTCCCAGGGCTGATTTCTCCTTTCAGAGTGTATTCAAAGAACTTCCCACTGACATTCACTAATAAGGTGCTGAAGGCTCTGTCTTCTTGAGTACAGCTGAGTGACTTGTCATGGCCACTGGTGGCAGGAGTGCCATACCTCAAGATCACCCCAACGATGAGCCCTGAAATAGAACAAGAAAAAAAAAAAGACATCAGGCCTGTGGAAGGATAGAGTATAAAAATAAAGGCACTATTAATTTCGAAGATTATAAGATGCAAAGAAAATTGTAGAAGTCAGGTTGAGGCTGTGTATTTAGCATCAACTCTGCAGTCCTTCAGAAAGGGTTCAGCATCATCTATTCTTGTCTCATTTGAATCGCTCGGCCACCAGAAGGACAAGGTGGAAAGGTACCTTTGGTGATTATTATGGCATTCTGAATAGTTTTAACACATAATCATGTCTTATTTCTGGGGCTTTTGATGGAGGAAAATGGAATGATGAGAAGAGAAGTTTTTTCTGCATATGACAGCACAAGGAGGAGCTGCTGAGCCCTTGATTTTCCCCAGAAGCAACCCTTAAGCCAGTCCTACTGCCATCTGCTAGCAAGAACCAGGCGACTGGAATTTCTAGTTGCTATAAATGAAACTTGCTTTGCCACACACCAGGGCAGGAGGCGGTGCTTTCGCTTAGGTTACTTCAAGCACTGGGTATCACAGAGAAAGTAATTACACCCCTTGGGAAGCTAAATGCAGCAGTCATGATTAAATTTGAGCAGTCATGATTCAGGGCTGGAGAGCTGGCTTCTTGGGGCTGTGGCTATGAGACACCTAAGATAATCAGCTACAAGTCTTTAAGTCTCATTTCCTTCTTAGTAGGCTTTTCCAATTAGAGAAAAATAAAAACAGCAAAATTGTGCGTAAGCATTCAATTCCATGAATGAGGAAGGAGTGTCACTTCCCTGGTGCTGGACATGAGTCACATGTACTCAAGCAACAGTAACTGAAATGTGGAAGAAAAAATAAAAACCATAAATGACTACCAGACATGAGTATAATTCTTTCTTAGGAAAATTTCAGACTTTCTCTAAATTCAGTTCTTTGCTAGCAACATTAAAAGATAGAACAGTAAAAATGCTTTCCTATCTCATTGACTATTAATGGAGAAAATTACATCTGAAAAAGAAAACAATGTTTACATATTCTATGTGCTATAGTTTAGATCTTAAATGTCCCCCAAAGGCCCATGTGTTAAAAGGCTTGGACCCCAGCTTGGTGCTATTGGGAGACAGTGGAATCTTTTAAGAGATGGAGCCTCGTGGGAGCTCTTAGGTCACTGGAGGTGTGTTCTCTAAGAAGGTAATGACTCCAGCCCCTTCCTCTTCCTCTTTATCATCCTTGACCCTGAGGTGAACAGTTTCACTCCACCAAGTACTCCCACCATGATGTGCTGCCACGGCCCAAGCAATGGGGCCAACCAGTCAACAACTGAAGCCTCTAAAACTGTGAGCCATAATAAACCTTTCTTCTACTTTAGTTCATTATCTCAGGTATTTTGTTCAGTAACAACTGACTAAAACACTATACACAATGTTTTATAAGGTCACCAAGACATGAGAATTCATGAGACATTGAATAGAAAATCATATATAAAATCTAGAAAAATAGTTACTTAAGCCCAATGTGTCTGTGGTGCATTATTATCATTATCATAGACCTGTATTAACAGATACTTATACATTTTTACTTTTACAAAAATATCAAGTCTTACAGGCTTTACAAATTTTAAATGAGATTCTTAACAATCTCAACCTAACTAGATAAGAAACAATTTTTTAAAACTTTAAAGGTGTATGAGAAAAACTAGACTTTTTATAAAATTGTGTTTCTCATTATCAAAAAGAGATAGCTTTAGGGCCAGGGATTTAGCTCAGTGGTTCTGCTGCTTGCCTCGCACGCTCAAGGTCCTGAGTTCGATCCCCAGTACAAGAAAAAAAAAAAAAAAGAGAGACAGCTTTAGGGAAAAATAATAAAAATCACAAAATGCAGATGGTTCTAGTTGTCTTGGTGAGTGGAATAAAGGCAAACACTTATGGTCTTTAGTTTCAATCTTCTCTTCAGGTATTACTACTGGACTCTACATTCACTTTTTCCAGTTGGATGACAAAGCAAATGATCGCAAAGATGTCCAGCCAGTATTTATTCAGCCGCGTCCTGCTTGGCCTTGGGAGTGTACTTCCTAGCTGGTGCTCCCTTGGCCATCTCGTGGTTTAGGGATATCTGGGTGCCTGTTCTGGTAAATGAAGTAGTAAAGTACTTATACTGAAGTAGCTATTGGCCTTGGGTTTCATCTCTCTGATTTTCCTGATCATTTTTTTTTTCATTATTGCTTTAGGCAAGGAGAGGTCCTGCAGGCATGTGGGCTATATCTCCAATATATCATTGCTCTCATGGGTCCATCTGTTCTCTATCAACACTCCCTGCACAGGGAGGAAGGAACACTCTGGTAAATACCCACAGGGCCTCCGCATGGAGCAAGGGAGGGAGCATATCATTTATGTGCCACTGGGCCTGGTGTTCAGGGGTACTCTATGATCCCTTCTTTTTCCCATTCTCATTATTCTAGTCATTCTGCTGATGGCCACATGGAAGGCCCCTCCATCGCAGATAACATCATAATGGTTACTGTGTGCTGGAATATTTACTGCCTGGCACTGAAACTCCACCAGGGTCTGCAATCTTTATCGGCTATGCACTCTTTTCTCCTTCAACAACATCAAACTCAATAGACCCTCTATCCTCTATATTACAAAGGTGATTCTTAACAGCTATTCTTCTTTGCAGCAATCAGATGTATAAATACATCTAGCTTGGTGTCATTCCTGTTAATGAAACTATGTATTTTTACACTGAACAATTTTACTATTCCCAACTTTCATTGCAATGACCTTCCTATCCTCTTCCATGGGTTGCCACTCCCTCTGCCTCTGCCCACAGTGTTCTGCCTTGTTGCTCATGCTTGAGGTCAGGGTGATGATGACAGGAGCCAGCTGTGGCAACCACACTTCCTCCTGAGGCTGCTGGTGGAACTGGGGCACTCAGAGCTCTCTGGGCTTCACTCTTCCCTCCAGATGGAACTCCATAATGCTTTTTACTCTTAGTTCACTTCCTGGTTAGGCAGGTATTTTCTGATGACGTTTCACACTACAAAAGTGATTTCTGTGGCCCTTTAACATTCATCTCCAGAGTCTAGAGAAAGCTACCTGTCATATAACAGATAGTTTCATCATCAGGAAAGCAAAAAAAAAAAGTCATTTACAAAAACTATCTTTCTCCCCACCAAAACCTACTTCATATAACTTCATTTTTAGCAGAGCTAACAGAAATCATAGGATCCTAACAATAAATATTATAATAAAACAGAAGGTTTATATTTGCAAACAAATTCCTCAATTACAAGAAATGCTCTTGAAATCTCTTCCAGTTATCACCATGACCATATTTAGAAGCATTATAAGGTGGTAAGATTTTTTAAACTTATAAAACCTTTCCCTCTTTATTCTGGCCCCAATATGACCACATTAAGATGACAGACACTGAAGGTAATGCCCCTTTGTGGCTAAAACATGGCAACACAAAATATCACAGGAAAGATACAAGGTTAACACCATTTTGGTAGTTACAACCAAAAATCTACCAAGTCATAGGTTTACTGCTAACTCAAGGTATAGTTTAAATAACTTCCAAAACATTTAAAGTTCATATTTATTACCACTGTATTCCACTTCATAACATTAAGTTCATATTTAGCATTTCCCACTTGAAAGAACAAGATATGAGGACTGCAGGGAGGTATTTTGGTGAGAAAAAAATAGACTTGGAAAGAACATGAACAGCACATTTCACCTGCTGGATCTAAAGACATCCTCTGACTGGAAGCTATAAATAGGTTATCACTACAATGAATTGAAACATTCATGAGATTTGTAAATGCTCAGAAAGTTCAGTATTTACACATACACACACACACACAATCACAGATCACTGATTTGACCATATCAACAGCATAGTGTTCTAGATTATAAAGAGAAATAACCACATATGTGGGCCAGAAAGAGAAATAACTATGTATTTAGGCCAGAAAAAATAGCACGGGGGATGTCAGCTAATGAAGAGAGAATTACTGATATTGCAACCCATAAACTTTTATGAAAAGCAAATATGAATAAAATTTCTTAGACATTTGATGTGGCTAAAAACAAAATGATGAATTCAAAGGTGCAAAACTTCAAGACTATTTAAACTTCTGGGTATGCAAAAACTCACTTCACAACTATTAGCATATTGTGTTGATGGTATACAATTGCTAGCTTTTCTAATTTTTAAAAGACAACCGAAAACAAGAAAGGTCTATATACAGTTAATGTACGTGCCCATCCCAAAACTGGTAGTATGAGAAGAGAATACAATCATGAGCCACATGAGGCTTAAAAGTCCTAGAGGGTCATCAAAGAAACCAGCCCCCATTAGTCTAGTGCCAGTTTCCCTTCTGTTACTGAGGCTGGTAAGAGCACAGCTGAACAAGTGGACAGAGTGTGAGGTGTAATTCTAAACAGCCATCAACCAGCTACAATATGGACACATCTATATTAACAAGCCATTGTTGAGGAGGGAAACGGGTACACGGATGTACTGTTTTCCTTTAGTCAGACTTCTTCCTCTCTTATGTAAACTAATAAGGGTAGAATATCACCAGAAGAGTTTGGCCACGCTGTGAAATTATTTAGAGTACAGTAGAGGTTTGCGAGAGACCACAATACTGATTATGCCCAAAGCAGGCTATAAGCAGTGCAGGCTGTTAAGAGTTAACCCCACAATTGGCTTGTTTATAGAATTGAGTCTGGCTGAAGCCTACGTACCAAGGTCAGAGTAACTTGCACCCAAATTCCGTTCCCACAAAACCTTCTTATTAGAAAGACAATGTTTTAATTATAACCATATATTTTGTCTATTCTGTTCCTAATTCAAGAATGCTCTGTCTTGTCTTCTACAAGCCTTGCTTACATTAATTTCCATAGAAACCGCATGACTGCACATCCTTACACATAGTACTGCCCTCGCATGCAGCTTGCCTTTACCCCACTTGATTACTAATAAAAATCAGTGGCTTGGACTAGCCAGTACC